ACACGCAGAGTCAACCCTGCGTTGCGCAGTTCGCAACGGCACGTTGAGAGATCCTCAACGCACGCTGTATGGGCGGAGAGACGCAGACGGCTCGAGCATGCGAGTGTGAATGTTCGCGCGAGAGAACGTGTCTAATCGGGCGAAACTGCGCAACGTGGCCGTTGAGAACTGCGCAACGCAGGGTTGACTCTGCACGGGCCCTCTGCGATGAAGGTGCTCCAGAACGCTCAAAGGGAAGGTGTACCGAACAGTGGTAAGGCCTGCGATGCTATACGGCAGCGAGTGCTGGCCCCTGAACAAGAATCACGAAAGGCAGCTTCACTCCGCTGAGATGAGGATGCTGAGATGGGCCTGCGGCTGGACGCGACTGGACAGGGTCAGAAACGAGGATGTCAGAGCGGTCATGCAGACTGCCCCTGTCCAGCTGAAGGTGAGGGAACAGCGTCTGCGATGGTATGGGCACGTGCTAAGGAGGCCACAGGATCATCCGATAAGAACAGCGATGGACTTCGAAGTGCAAGGCAAGCGACCGCGAGGAGCCCCAAAGAAGAGGTGGAGAGACGTATCAAGAAGGACCTAAGTGAAGTCATGGCCACAGCAGAAGATGCCCTGGACAGAGCAAAGTGGCGACGACTGACAAAGACAGCGGACCCTGCGACTGCGCGGGACTAACGCTAGGGAGAAGAAGACTCGTTAACAACAGCTTGAAAACTGCTTAAGAGTAGCAAATATAAGGTAACAAGTCACAAAACGCGAGATAACGAGTAAAAAGGATGAAAGCAAATGGATAGAAGAGACTGAGCAAGGGGAACAATAAAGTGATTAGAAGACGTCGAACGGTTCTCCGGCAGTTGCGGCGCGGTTCATCCTTGGATCAGATTAGCTCGAGTTCCGCCAAAACCATGGAAATCTACACCTTCTCTGAAAACCAACCATTACTCTCCTTTATAACTTTCTGAGTGGGTTGTGGTGGGGCTTAGATAGAGGGTTTCTTGCTACCAAGCAGTGTTGAGAATTGCTCTAAAAGCCTTCCATGCGGAAAGATAGGGTCTCTCGAACTGCGTCGAGTCAACGTCGAGGAAGCTAAAATTTCCATGCGAGTTTTTACCAAGCCCTCTATTCTTGGGCGCTATTCTCGGAGCCTTTGCCAAACGCAAAAAAGTCTCAAAAGCAGCAAAAGATGCGGTTCATTCAATTTAGTTTATTTCATTTTCTCTAATTTCTGGTTGAAAAATTGCAACAAGGATTCTCTGGAAGCGCGATATCGGCCCTCCTTCCTCTCACTGCATTGCAAGTTATAGCGTCAATATAATTCTCGGGAATTCTCTAGAATCCTCTTTTCGAACGTAAGCGATAAGAAAAAGGCTATCGTCATCGTCGAATTCGTTCCATACAGGCCATGCGTTCGACTTCCACTCATAATTGCAGAATCAATTGGAAGTGTTATGTGATGATGACGATGACCTGCTGACGGGCACTGTATTGTAGTAAATCCAGTTCGCCAACTCCATCAACCTTCAGTTGTGCGCAGTTCATATTCTTACTTGTTTGGCATGCGCTCAGTCCGGGTGTAGTAGGGAGGAGCATTTGATTACGTCCAGTGGTCTGCCCTCACCCCCACGCAAGACTGAGCGTTCACTCCCCTGGCTCAGGGGGGCGTCCCGCGGTACTTGATAAAACCTGTGCGTCAGGGGAGTCTAGGTTCTAGGGGGGGTGAGGCACCATGGTTTGTTCCCTTACTGGATGAGCGCCCTTAACTTTTGTCGTTATCTTGCGGACTCTTATATTATTCTCAGCAACTATATTAGGTGGCGACGGCCTTGCGTTAGAGGAAAGCGTGCCTTCGCAGAGCGTTTATGAACATCGCGTCACTTTTTATTTTTATAAGAAGATTGTTTTGACCATGGATTTCCACATATCCTATTTTTTCGCGTTTATTTCGCCACCCCCTCTATGCACCACCGATGGGTCGGCAATTCTGATGTGGTCGATACTGACCCTACCGGACATAGACCCCTCATACCACTTGTGACAGTATGCGACTCTTTCTGTAATAATTTCCTGACGATACTCACCTGCTTGAGATGGTCAACGAAATCGCATTATCAACAGCTTCGAGCAATTCAAGAATAGAAAAGAAGAGTACATTTGTAGGATTTTTGGAAGGGATCAGTCTGCGCGGCGCGTGGACGATACCTACGCTCCTGTCGGGAGGATGGTGATAAACATACACCACAGAGCAGGGCACGCGGCAGTTTCATGAGTTTTGAGGGGGGGGGTAGGGGAGCTCATGTTAAAATCCGTGAAACTGGATTGCTCTCGGAGATCTGGGGGGGTCTCTTTGAGGAGATTTTCCCGTGCAGATAGTATTCGGCAAAAGGGCACAAAAAAGCCGGCGCGGCGCCCCATGCCTACCACTTTTCAAATGGAGTTGAAGTAAGCATGTAAAACAGTGATACCAGGAGCCACCGATATTGAATCCTACACAGATCCATTACTGACGGTATGCCTGGTTGCATAGAATTCCCTTTAGTTTTATTATTCATTCAGTATTGAAAATGAAAATGCGGTGAGCGAGTTCTCTGCAGTTGACCTTCGGTAGCTGCGGTGTTGGTGATTTGCACTGTATAGAACAGCCCGCTCTTCTTTAACATCTACAATTGTTCGCAATCAGGTGGACAATACTTGATGTAGAATATACGACTACATATGAAGGCAGCCAAAAGCACTTGGCCCGTAGCCCAATCATAACTTTCGTTGAACGGCGGTGCAGTCTTGTAAAAGTTTCATGGCGCCCGAAATATTTCTTACAATCTGTCCGCTGCATAAGAAGGCGCAAGCTCTCCTCCACGCCATTCACCGTCCTGCTAGAATATGCAAGTATCTACCATCACCTGGTTCAGCTCAGCGGAGGCCTACGTAATCGCCCCTTCTGAAGTCTGCGCTGCATCATTCTTCAATTGGTGACGGTGGATTTGCTTTCCTAAGATTGTAGCTCTGCTATGCAAACCCTTCGCGACTCAGCTTTCGAAGGACCTCTAGTAGGTCTACTATGCAGTCGAGGACCTATCCGATTATTGATTTCTGCATCATATTGGAGGTATTGTTCGGAAATCTTCATGACCTTATCTCGGCCTATGATGTTTCAATTTTGTTGAAATTTTATGAACCATATGTTGTTCGAATATGGTTCCCAGATATGGAGCCCTCACACTAAGAAACTTCAAGCTAAAATTTATTGCACCGATGTTTACAAACCCTGCCCATCTACGAGCTTTCCAAGACCGCCTGCTTCGTTTGAATCTCAAGTTATTGTTGTACTCAATGGTATCATGTTCTGCTTCAAGTTGTTGAAAGGTGAGCCAAGTTGAGACCGGAAAAGTGGAGGATAATAAGACCGAGCAGGTCGCATCACTCCGTTATCACTACAATGTCCTAGATTAAACAGAAATCATCCGGTCCAATTTTTAATCGATGGTTCGATTGTAACGACAGCAGAGCAATTAGATAATAAGGGATCGTCTGTCGGCCGACATTGTCGATCGCAACGTATAGTACGACAGACGATCTGGATACGTATAAATGCTCTTGCGATCGCTACGTATCGCATCGACCTACTGTGAAAGCGTCGCATAATGTCGCCTGACTCGTACGTCACAATTCACAAGTACAATGTACGGCAAAATAAGCAGACCTTTACAGCTTTGCATCGAGGCTTTCATCACAGTTATGCGTCCAAAGTTCATGATGTCCTAAATCTGAGTGTGTACGAGTTAAGCGAGTTATGTATAGATAGAAAGCTCTTGTCAACTAATTTATTAAACATATGTAAAACAGGGAAAAGGGGACACAGCGTGGGCGAAGGAAGAACGCTGAAGGGCCCACTACAGGGCTGTCTGGACCAAACTCATGTTCTCGGCTGGCAGCGGACTAAGTGGCCTTCGCTGCGATTGCATAATCCCGATCCGATATGCCACGTCTCATAGGTAGCCCCGCACTCTGAAGTGAACCGACACAGAAGTAGCCAAGTACAAGCACAGAGGTTGACCAAAGCTCTTCTCAAATGAATAGTCCACATAATGGGAAAGGGCCAATTGAGAATGAGCTGCAGTTACAATATTAGGCTGTTCGTAGACCCGTGTGTTTCTCCTTCCTATTTTTTTCCTAAATTTTGAACTTGTTTTTTCTAAATTTCGAGCTTGCTGACAGAAGCAGGTATTTCAAAGCGTCGTGTCCAACGAAGCGGAAATGGAGAGTTGGAAGGGGCAGCACGGCGCGACAGTTCGCCCCGACAACATCATCCCATTTTGGTATCGGAGGAAGCTCCGGAACGTGGGGTGAACGGATCTACTTACTTAAACAGAATGTGGAAAAAAGTTATTAAAATGACGAGTACTGGGCACGCGCTCTTCGCATCCCGTTGGGCTCTGCGTCACGTTGCCGCCTCCCCTAATCCAGATTGATACAGGTAGTCTACAGTGATTGGCGTAACTTAGGTCATGCGAAACTAAATCTGTGCCCTGATCAAGTGAGTATTCGTGACACGGTTCAGTCCTAAACAATGCGGCCTATTTATGTGCGTTGCGCGCAAAGTATAGTGCAGGGTGTGATTCTGCGACAACGATACACCCTATTTGACGGCAGCAAAATCTAGTACAGTCTAGCGGTCTTTCCTTGTAAATTGTCGTATTATATGTAAGTGTGACCGAATACACACAAGAAATTGTCTATCAAAGATCCAAAATTTTACAACCAAACTTATGTTTTTGCTCCATCGTATTTTTTTTGTTCTACTTTGTCAAATTGAGCGTTTATCTGGTAATTCGTTTAGGTGAATTCGCCCAACTCACTCCTATGAATAGCTTGGGATCGATTGTTACGGTAGTTTCTCTGGTCTTATTTATTATTAGCGAATTATTCTTATCTGCTCCTTTGTTCAGTATGTGTAGCCCTGTTCACTGATTTCGCGTGGTTTTTGGTGATTTAGTTCATTGGAAAAGATGCATGACACTCCATCACTTGTTACTGGATTCGCTGGCAAGTTTCTGTAGCGAAAGGCTCTTTTTTCAACCCTAATTTGTCAATAGTAATACATGTATAAAGAAAACTACAATCCGGAGCATTGGTCATTTTTAGTACCTGATTCTCTGTTCGGTTCGCTTTAGGAAATTAAAGTTCTCAAATCTTGTGACTTTGGTTTCATTTTTAAGTTTCGAAACACCATCTTCCACATACTGTCTTATGGACTTTTTTTTGGAGAGTTTTAAATTAAAATGTTAATTCGCATGAGTTGTGATTGTTATCTCGAATGAACACTGCTGCTGGAACCGTGATGTGATTCACAATTTTACGTCTAATCTTGAACTACCAGGCTCTGATATCAGAGTAAGTCGATGTGTTTCTTTAACTTGAATCTAAACTTGGCAAATTGCCCGGTACTGAAGTGTGAAAAGAGTCCTTTATCAACATCTTTTTCTAAGTCGGTGCCTCTCCCTCTCTTCATCGCTATCTCTTCATCTGACAGTAGCGTCAACGAACACCATCTGACGGCGCATTTCGCATACCGCCCCCCTCTCCCCTCCCCCATTCGGTGAAGGTCGTCCCTTCGTTGCCCGTTATGCTGAACACCTTGCCCGCGTAATTTGTCATCTAATTGGGCTTTGATTTGACTTTTTTTCATGATCCGAGCTTAAAGTGGAGTCTAAACAGTTTCATTAGGGCGTGAATAGTCCGTCATTCAACTTTCCTTTCTTCATTCCTACTTTTTACAGTTTTGAGGAGATTGACGAAATAATAAGGTACGTCTGAGAAAGGAGCGAAAAACGTGTTAATTATTTTGTTTATAATGTTTTTCTTTCTTTATTGGAGATACATGCGTTTTTCGTTACTGTTGGGATTTTCCAAGTGGGGGAACATTCTGGCACATGTTAACGTGTAGCGGAACATGTCCCAACCAGGATCGGAATGGCTTCACTACATGAAAATTTTTATTTCTTCGTCTTTTTGTGACACTTCATTTGTTATTGTGACTGTTTTTATTGTCCATGATGCTTGGATTGTTCTTTATCAAAAACTGTTCGAAGATCCAATCATCTGAGCAAGCTTTTGTTCGTGGTTCTTATCAGCAGCAGTCGCTGGGTGGTGTGAGATATTCTGCCTCATCACCTCATGCCGTTCTTATCGTGCCGTCCCTTTCCCTGCTCATATGACAGCAGTCGTCTTCCAGAGCTTGTTGCTGCAGCTTTAACACACATTCTCTTTCAGGGACGACAGTGGCTGCATGGCCCATAGCATGATGAGTGGACCAGAGCGGAGGACAATCCACATGAGCCACTACAAAGGTGGTAGCCTGAAAGTAAGCTTGTTGCAATCTTATTTCCCCTTCTTTACTGTGCTAAACTGGCGAGGGAATTTCGTTGTTGAACAGGAAACAAGATTTTACTGATGTTGAGAATTGGGAAAATATGGGCACTTTTCCAATAAACGTTATGTCCGCTTCAATTTCATATTTTCCCCATTCATTATCAGTTGAACATAAAATGTGAAAAAAGCACTGCATCATATTGTGTTAGGGTTGCATTGTTTTGACTTGGGTTATCCAGCGGGAACCGGGAGAAAAGAGATCTTTCTTCCTTACTCGTATACAGGGCTATCTAAGCTTCTCAGTCTACCCAAGGGTCCTGTGAATTTTGCTTAAAATAAAAATGGGAAAGAGCAAAACGCTAGTTCAACTTATAGAGCCATGCTGTACTTGCCTTGATTCCACTTCCTTCATCGAAACCAAAACTCGTGCGCGAAATAACGTGGTGCGGGGTTCTTTTCAAGTAAGATGCTGTGCGGTTAAAGCGCGCTGTGCTGCTCGGAAATAGTAAATAATTGTTGAAAGAATGCGCCCTACACACACACACAAACAATATACACACTGCGCGCGCGCGAGAGCGCGAAGAGAACACATGACCCAGTAAATTTAGTCCTAGTTTTCTAACGTGTACTTCTTATTGTTTTGTCACGGGATTTATGCCAGTCTGTGTGATGTTTTCCATCAACTGTTCGCGAATAGTTTTACAAGACCTAATAGACGACGGATAGTTTGTCACGGATGATCGTCACTGTAATATTAGAGTCATTGCCCAGAAACACAACAGACAGAGAACGTGAGCGCGTTGCTTTATCAAAACTAAGAGTCTGATAAAAAAATTGTCCTCTATGGTTGAAGATTATTGTCATGAGGGAGAAAATTCGACTTAATGATCGATTTGCCTTTCTTAGTATCCAATTAAAAGAATATGTTCCACAGGACACAACAGAAACGGAATAGTAGTTGTTTGCCTAGCGTTCCCACACAATTTTGAAGCTGTTTGTTAGCAGAGGCGATTGGTAGTTTTAGGCATCAACGTTCTATATATATGCTCAAGCTACCCGGTGGAGAGAACGTAACCTAGTATTCCGGTTCGTTTCGTAGAAATAATTGAAGTAACTTCGCAATCCGAAAGAGTTGTTGAAATTTAGCGTTACTTTTGTCCTCCCTGGTTTCATTTTGAAACTGCTGCTCTTCTAGTTTTCTTCAAAGAGTCTGCGAATTTAAAGCTCAAGTGCAATTCATTTCGGCTCACGTCTGCTCTGGTACCTGTACGTTCTCTAACTTTCTTCTCAGAAGCCACTATCCATTTTCCGCGGTGGCCTCATATGACAATTCAAAGCGGAATCAACGTTGCGCGAGAGACAACAGCGGACGAGAGAGATGTGATGTACTCTCAGTGAGAGCAAGCGATAACTCTCTAGCAGCAAAGAACCCAACGCTGAAGAGAATTCCCGTGATACCGTCTATGAGACAGATTCTAGATTTTGCAATACTACATGGCCATTACTGCGAAACGGATCTAAAGAGGATAGGACGAGAAATGCCACTCAAGTCAAGCGGAGGGCAAGCATGGCCAGGGAAAGAGGGCGGCATGGTGAGCCGAGTAACATGACCGGAAAGGCCACCGAGGTGCACGCGCAGTAGAAGGAAAGAGGCACTAAGAGTTCCGTCGAACAGCTCGTCCGTAACGCCCGAGCGAAAGAGCGGTTAATCTAATAATCGAGCAGTGAGATCATACGAAGCTGAGATAGGAGAGCGCAAGTATAAGGAGAGGGAAGAGAAGGTGAAGAGAGAGGGACATCTCGAGAGGAGGAGACGAGCAGAGATGCAGAGGAGACAGAGGAGCAAAGTATCGTCGGAGCGGAGCGAGCGGGCGCGGCGGAAAATGGGGCTTTAATGATTGTATATAGTTCTTAAAGTCTAGCGGTGGGGTGGTTGTATCGTAATCTTTTTGAATTACTGTCCCATCCAAATTCAGTCTGTTTTGTTCGAACTTGTTTATCACCTTTATGTGACTTTTCCTGAGACATCTAAATATCCTAAAACACTGTAAGGTGTATGCGATTCCTTCGTTGCCTAAGCTTCCGTCTTCCGAAAATATGGGAGAGGTAATTAGTGGCTCGATAAGGGCACGAACAGTACCTTTTTCAACTTCTTCTTAAGCGCTCCGAAAGATTTCTTTTCTACCTAACGAGCGAGACATTCCAAGTCGAAGTAGCCTCTTGTAATAAAACATATACCACTAAATGTCTTCCCGTGCGCTGATATCAAATCTGCTTTCAAACCTACGAAATGGTTTAGTTATGAGGAGGGAGTGTGCAGCGGTAATGGTACAGGCTCTTAGGCAGGAGGTTGTGAGATCGATTTGTTGGTGAATCCACTACTTTGCTTTTTTTCGGTAGGTTCGTTTAGAGAAATCTCCATACACGTTACGTCTTATTACGATGGCTGCCTCAACTTGGGATCCCTCCTTTCTTAGATTCAGTTTTCACAGCATTAATTTCAACTATCACTGACATGTTGTTAACACGTTGACGACCGTGTGACATGACGTCATGCCGCACTTTACACGGAGCAGACTAGTTTTGCTTAATTTATCTGGCGTTTTTCATGTTCGACAACGGTCCATTACATTATTGGGATCCGAAAAACAATTTGTCCATTACTGATGATGAAATCATTAAGAATTAATGACTATTGATGGGGAAATACGAAAAAACTTGCCGCAAAAACTTACAACGGCGGTTGTCAATGGGTTGATCTTATGGTAGCAAAGCTCGTGATAACTTTCTTAGATGGATTGTGGTGAGTGCTTTTTGCAGTGAACTTTGAAACGATTTGTCGTGATCAGGCTACTCTTAATTAGTCGGTTCTCTTAAATCTTCGGCTTTCCTATAGGAATTGAATATGTTCTGTCACTCATAACTTTTATCGAGTTCTCCATTACGGCTCAGTTGGAAGCTTTTTACACTTTTCCGATATTTTGACGCTTTTTCGAAAGTTTGATTAACTCCTGGTTCGCTAAGAGCGTACATCGTCCCATTTTGATGTCTTCGGGACTTCCCTTTGTCATACCGGATGTAATACCACTCTCTATCAGTAGTTTGTGAAATGATTTCCCGCAGCAGGCTGAGATTAGCGACAGCAACTCTTTGAAGCATCTAGTGACCTAAACACAAGAAATTTATACTAGACAAGCATTATACAAGTTTGACTCCGCTTGCCATCACCCGCATACCACGGTTCCTTGACAATATGGACCTGGCGGCCAAAACTCGAATTCAGCTCTGCCCACCATTAGCTTCTGAAATCCTTTCGCTCTGTAACATACGATTTTTTTTTTCCGGTCTTCGTACCATCTTGCAGCGAATTATGAGAGCTTGGGCCCTCCTCCCCACTGTCTTCGACCTCACCTATTTCGGCGGCCTCTATCCACTTTTTCCAGACTCCGAGTTCCTTTTTAAGCGATTTATAAGTTTCATTGGGAACCACCGCCCATTTCCGCACACATCCAAACCACCACTAGCGCATGGCATTTGTTTTATAGCTAACATGTACACTTTTCCCAGTGTTCATGCTTTTCTGAGCCGAATTGGGTGCTCATGGCTTGGAGAGAGACTTTCAAAACAGGGCATTTAAATCGCTGGGTGACACTAGGATTGAACTCAGGACAGGGAGAAACGCTAGAGAGAACAAAAATTGCTCACTTCCTCCCTTAGAATCCGTTCCTCTTCCTAAGTTTAGTACCACGTAATGTAAGTGGCTCACTCTCTTGATGACCCTTCCCCGCCGGTTGCTTGAGGACCAAATTATAAGGCTTCATCGCAACTTCACCCCCATCGCCCACGTATCAATCCATTAGCAGTTGACTCTAGCTCAGGCATGGCTCATGAACTCCTATGTCTGTGGACCTTGTCGCGGAGTAAATTATAGAGGATCTGCGAAAGCTCCCTTTTTCAAGATATGCTCCTCCCTTGTGAGCGGCTCTTCAAGTTTGCTTGGTACATTTAACAACAAAGCACTGCTCTTTTCCTCGATTTTTTTCCGCTGAGTGTGCTGTAGCCAGCTGTAATTATCTCGTAAGCACCACCCATTTAAAGAACCTCTGCTCATCATGGCGGGGGGGTTCCCAATATGACTCTTGCAACCCGTGCCCCTTTTGCTCATATTCGCTCGCCCCCCCCCCCTCCCAACTCAGAGTTCTTTTGTACTGTCTTTAGAAATGTTCTTTTGGTACCTACCATTTCGACGTCCAGTTGCTACCGCTGGCGTGCTTCGCTTGCTGATGATGTTGTTTCGTATCCTGGCCTATGCCACTTATTTAAGCTTCAGCCGGGCTCTTCAATTAATATCTTAAGGTAATATCGAATTACAGACAAACAAACCAAAGAAGCGCTTCTAGAGGAAGTAGTATTGAAACTGTTCATGGCGTAAAAGCTGCAGGAGACCGTCTTTCTGATCTTATTATCAATCACGTTGGTTTCACGTGGGATGTCGGCTTACCAGTGTTCAATGCTCGGGCACGCTCTAAGGACTTTCATGCGGGACGAGGACACCATTACCAAGTGATGCGGATAGTTGTGTGGGTACTGCTTTATGATCGTGCTTGTTCGTCCTCAAGTTCCTTGTACATTTGCTTGCACAAAGCAATATTCTCTCAGCCAAGCTCCAGCTCTGCTTCGGTGGTGGTATGTTTTGCACTATCAACCCTGCTTGTGCCATAACAGCTTCCTTTCGATCTGATGGTTGTAAATTGGACTGTTTGTTCTAATTTGTTTCTTTAGAAACACTTCGAGTGTAAGTCATAATCATAATATATAGAAGTGAGAAGGCCACGCCGTGAATGTGAATCCGGAAAACCAAATTAAAAGACAACGACACGATTGCGATGTACTTTCGATAGAGTGCGTAAAAGCGTTTGTGACTTGATGCGGCACCTAATTGATGTTTTTGTTCTTTGTAATAGAGTTTAAATTGATGTCTGTACCGAAAGCGAACATGTGTATGCGTTGTCGCTGCTTCGATAAGATGTTGCGGGAACCTCAGGCCCACCCCCGATCACCAGGCACGCCATGGTTCCCGCAGCGAAAAATGTTTCGCGCTGCGAAATGCGATAAAGTCGCTTTCTGTCCCAGTGAACCACCCCAATGTTTCACAAGGATGCTGGGTTGTGAACAAATTTTTTTTTCCCAACGGTTCGAACCCACCCATTTTGGCTCCTCGGGCCAACGTGCGTCTACAAGGCTTACTGCTAGGGGGGGGGGGGGGGGGGGGGGGGGGGGGGGGGGGGGGGGGGGGGGGGGCGGGAAAGCACCATTTCATTCCCACTATTGCTACAGCTTTTAGCCTCGCGGTCATTGCCGATATTGGCTAACAGGCTCAACACGTTATACCTGTGAGTGCTGACAAGGTATGGTAGGTATACCATGGAGAGCTGAGTTGGAATGAAATGGTGCTTCGGTAGCGTAACTGGTAGCGCACTTGCCCGATAACAAAAGGTGCAGGTTCAAGTCCCGTTGGGGCGAAAGTTTTGTTCACAACTCAGCATTCTTGCGAAACTTTGACTTGTATTTCCCGGTTCTAAATATTGAAACTGGTGAGACATTGTTTCGGACTGAGGAAGTTAAGGGACTTGTCATGCAGAAGAGTGCGGCATCCAAGCGTTGATAGAGCATGTGAGTTTCTGAGACCTCCATTTTGATAGGAGAATACAAGGAGAGGTTGACCAAGAGTGCGGGCCCCATCACTGATTGATTTTTTTGGTTTTTTATGGGAGATAGATTTTGAATCAATATGTTTGTTCTGGCTATTTCTGCTGACTAGGCCTCGTTTTTTGTGTTTTTTCAAGCTTGAAAGTCAACCATTTACACGGATAAGAAAGAAAAAAATGGTTCTGTAGAACAGGTAAGTACCTTTCCTAATGCATACGACCTGATGCAACTGGAATTAGAGAGGAGAAAATTTTGCAATTCTGTTCCATTCTAGCTAGTTTCCTTTCACGAACTTATTAGGAAATGCTATGTGCCATTAATCATATTTCAATTTTAGGACAAGCTGGACCAGGGTGATAAGGTGTTCAAGACAGTCGAGGACTTTGTCAATACCTATGTGGAAGATGCGTCCAAACGTCGCCCCATTAAAAAGGTTTGTTTTATTCGCCTTGTTTGTTGTTGATTGCCATTATGTCACCATTTTTTTAGATGTTGGTTGCGACAAATGGAATTGCTGCTGTTCGCTGCATTCTTTCCATACGAAAGCTGCTCATGCAACTTTTTCGTAATGATCGCATCATCAAATTTATATGTTTGACGACGGAACAGGAAATTCGGTCTAACGCAGGTCAGTGCAGAAAAAGTGTTTCGGTATAATGAAAAGCGGGTTTGAGCATGTTACTACGGAAGAGAACGCGATAGCTTCCCTTGGAGCTTATTAAAGTTTTCGCTACGGGACCACGATGTGGGGTCTCGCAGCGAAATAAATCTGCAGCGCCACCGCGCTCATCAGCACATGTTGCATTCCCAGTGGAAATGCCGCTGCAGTCGCGCTTTTGTGCTCGGTCAGCACTACAGATGTATGTAGCGAGATCCTAAGTCGTTGTTCGCAACGGACTTTGACTTTAGGAGGCGTGACATCGCGTTCTGTCCTAACGCTACATCATTGGCATACTACTACGTTTAGTTCAGTTTATACTTGTTCCTCACGCGGTTCGTGTTGCGACATCTGTCTCCACCTTCTATCCGTCTCTAGAAATTTTTTTCCTCCGTCTTACTAATTTCTCATTCTTGGCCTTCTTGGGATTCGGAAAAGAGCACATCAGTTTCTCTTGTTCACGAGCGTTCTACTTGAAATGCGCTCGTCACGACCTAGCGGTAGTAGAGGCAGTGTGGCATCTTTCAGTGTGGATTGGTTCCCAAGCAAGTGTCGCCAATTTTCTCCATAAGGCACGCTCACTTGTTCATATTCCCGATTAGTAGAAAGGCGGGCAAGCGTTGATGTCGCGCCTCTTTTACGACTTGAAAGTGCGCGACAAAGGGGCCAGAGCTGCCTCGTCGCAATAACCCTTTCGTTTTTCTTTTTTTTTTTTCTTTTGAGACAACTCCTCACCGCAAGCTCCATTATGTAATCTCGGTTTGCCTTTAATTTGTACAACAGGTAAGCTATAAATGCTTTTTGAATTGCAAAGATTTCTGCGTTAACTCGCACGTACAAGATTAGGTCTCTTCATTTCCAGAAGGCGTAAATCCGTAATTTGAAAAAGCTGCTTCTCCTCCTTCCCTACAAAACTGTTTTACGCGAATTCATGATTAGTGTAAAAATCTTAGGCGCACGCATAGTCGGTCGTCCGACAGCAACGATCGCAACTGTCTGACTGTCTAACTGCATCTAATCGTCGAATACTCAGGCAAGTCCGACGATCGATACGCATCCAATGCTGTGCGACAGTTACGATCGTTGCTGTCGTCCGACCGACTATGCGTGCGCCCTACAAGCGGGCGAAGGCTGGCGCTTCTAATTTTTAAGCCGCGCGACATAATAACAAATTGCTTGCAAATTCCACTGGCATAAAATCAAGTAGAGAATAGGTAGCGCAGCATGATTTCTCAATTAAAAATACAGTTTTTTACTTGAAAAATGGCTCCTCAAAAGACTGAAAACTCGCAATATCAAAGCCAATTTATCACGGTATCTCTAAGTAATTTTTTGAGTGATGTATAATTGAATGATAGCATCGTTTACTTCCCAACATTAATGATAAAGACATTTATTTCACAGTTTTGCGGGTAGATCCTCACTATGAGAAGCTTAATTCAATTTTCTGATGTATTTTTTTATGAATTTACGGAAATGGGGGGCATTGCGAAGCTCTGCCCTCTTTTAGAGAGATGCACGATCTGTGTTTTTCATTTCTTACAAGGAAAGGATGGTAGGTCGAAGTGGCCGTATAAAATGAGATGTATACCACCTGATGCGTCTCCAGACGCTGATTCCAAATCTGCCTTCCAAATCTGCTAAACGGCTCTCCGAACGGAGTTATGAAGCGTAATAGCTCAGTGGTGATGGTCCGGGGTGGCAGGTAAAAGCTCGTAGGATCGGTTCCTTTGCAAGTTTGTTGCTTTGCTTTTGTCCGCAACACTTCTAGAGACAAAAGCAAAGCAAACTTGCAAAGGAACCGATCCTACGAGCTTTTACCTGCCACCCCGAACCATCACCACTGAGCTATTACGCTTCATAACTCCGTTCGGAGAGTCGTTTAGCAGATTTGGAAGGCAGATTTGGAATCAGCGTCTGGAGACGCAGCGTCTGGAGTCGCATCAGGAGGTATACATTTCATTCAAACGGCCACTTCGACCTACCATCCTTCCCGTTTTAAGTCCCTTCATAACAGTGATTGTGTTTGAGTATAGGAAGCTGTTAGACGGTAGGCTCACATCGGATCATTGTCGTGATAGAAAACCAATTTTTCGGCTAGCTCTAATTAGCGTGGTCTAGCCCACATTCGTTGGATAGTAAGAGATGGGAAACGCCGAATA